AATCACAAATGACTGTGAACTTTGTAAAAATTACAGCATGGCCTTCTGCCTCCAGAGCACAAGCTGCAACTAGCTGGGATGGGTTTGTTCGAGAACATTAAACTGCTTGCCCCCGTTCAGGTGCCTGCTTAGATTGTAAAGTTGACCGGCTGCCAGGTAATGAGTTCTTATTTGTCTGTGAAGTACATAAAACAAATGCTTGCTGCTCATAGGGGAATGAAATTTCATTGGAAATTCAAATAAACAGGTGGAATTTCTCCCCCTTCCTTTTTTCTTTTCTTTTCTTTTCTTTTTCTTTTTAAAAATCAGACTGATGGGATCACTTGCCAAAGGCTGTATTTTTCCACTAAGTGAGTTCGGTTTAAAGCTGAAATCTCATTGCACTGCCCGCACCACAGGCCAAAAGAGTGGTTACATAAGAAACATGGAAGGAGGGGCAAGGGTGGAGCAGCGAAAGGAACAATACCGTAAAGCCTAACATGGACGTCTCTTTTTCCTTATTTATACAACAATTTTCAAAACAAGTTTTTCAAAGGGACTTCTATTAAAAGAAACGTACGATAAAACACAATTTTTAAAAATCACATAAAGGCTGCAGTTCCAACCCCTCTTACCTGGGAGTGATCCCCATTGAAATCAGCAGGATTTGCCTTCTCAGCAGCTGTGGTTAGAGAACAGAGCTTTAAAAAGTGTGACACTGTAACAACTTCATGGTGAGTACCGGCACCTATTTTTATAGAAAAAGGCACTGCACAGCAGCATTAAAAACCAGAAGAATACAATAAAAACGGTCTAGTCAGCCATAAAAATGTGTTCCAAGATAACATTGTTTTCAAGTGCTGTTCAAAAATGGGAAGGGAGCTTGTCAGGCTTTCATAAAGCAAGAATTCCAGAACTGTGGCACCACCAGTGAGAAGGCCCTGCGGCAACTGTCCACCAATCAGAACAAGCCAGAGAACAGAGCCTTCAATGCAAATCTTAAATCTGAGGGTTTAGAAAAGGTAAGTTGTAAATTTTATATTAAAATCTTTATGCACATGTTGAATGCTAAGGGTCTCTGTTTATTCTGCTGCTCCTTGGCTGTTTTGTAGCAGGATAATCAATAATGAAGCAAATCAGAATACTGCATATGGAAAGCTTTACATACAAAGCTTCACATACAAAGCTTCCTAATGTGCAACATAATCTTCCAAGAAATGAAATTTATTCAGAGAACTATTAGCAACACATCACAATGAGATGTCTGGGTGATATGCATGGGGAGCAGGCTGACAGTAGCTAAGTAAAGATTTAACCAGTGGTCATACACCACCTTGATTTAGTGATTACGAGCTGTCAGATGAAGTCATTGGAACATAAACTCCTCCTGGCTGCACCTGTGCAAGCATGTCTCCAAATGACCTGCAAGGCAGAGGAAAGCAGAATTTGAGCCATAGGGCTAAAATGGGTGACCATGCTTCTTTCTGTCTTTTATAGCACAGCACTAAAGAGGGAGGAAAAGGTGGGTCTCACATGACAGACCTTGTCAGAGGCCTAGGAGGGATAGCATGCAAGAGATAATTTCATCCAGAGACTAGGGTGCTAGCCTTGAATTTAAAGGTGGATGGGAACAAATCCCAGATTGGCTATAGGTCTCAAGAAAACTAGTTTTACTCCCATTTTACAGACGGATAACTGAAGTTAAGCAATCAAGACTATAAAATACTCAGCATAAGAGGATTCTTTGGGTGCATGGTGAAGAATTATTCCAGAAAAGGACATGTTGGCTACAATCCTGCACACTGTTCTACATACCAAATTCCTAAGGAAAAGTGTTTTCTGTTGTCTGCCCACTGGCATTAGGAAGATCCCAGCAGGGCCAGCTCAAGAAATTTTGCTGCCTGAGGCGGAGGACAAGATGGTGCCCTTCCCCCAGGTGCATGCAGAAACCAATTGGATTGGTAGTTGAAGCTTACTCCAATAGTGGTGAAAAGTACTTGAGGGCAGCAGACCACATGGCACTCACAGCTCTGTCTCCACCCCACCCCTCAGCATCTGCTGCCTGAGGCAGCTGCCTTCCTCTTTCTCATCATAGAGCTGGCCCTGTATCCCAGTATGAGTCCACATTGTATTATCCTGTATGCACTGGTCACTCAATGACATTGCTTTGCATTGAAAGGGCAGGCATGGGGTTTGTTAAATCTCAGCTATAGAGCTTCTTTGGTGCCCTTAATTCACAGTCACTTATAATCTCACCTGTGAAATGGGAGCAACAATGCTAACTTACCTTATGAGCATTTCACATGGAGATGGGAGATTTTGGGGAGGAAAGAAGAGCAGACCAGATAGACCAGGTACTGGGAACTTCTGGTCCTCCAGGTGTTGTTGAACTGGCCGTGCGTGCTGGGGCTGATGGGAGTCGTAGTTCCGCAACATCTGGAGGGCCAAAGGTTCCCCACACCTGAGACAATGCCTTTCACTCATGCCCCTATTGCTCCTTCCCCACACATTCCTCCCTGCCCCACCATGTAAGCAGACTCTATGCTCCCAGAAGAGAGGCAAGATGCACAGATACCATTAGCTCTGCAACTGTTTGCAGTTAACAGTGCCCTTAGGGGCAAATATCTGTGGGGATGGCAATTTAAACAGGGTATCAGCGCAGATCCCTGATCCTGGCCAAATAAAATAAACCAGTTTAAGCATTTTTTGTTTTATTTTAAAAAGTGTGTTTAATTAGGAGTAGTTTGGCCCACGTTTCCATGGCCCAGCATGCATGATGGCTTCCCCTTCTCTTTCCTCTTTCCTTAGAACTACCAGTAGTTTGAGAGAAAATGAAGCTCAATGCAAAACCCTCTAACACAGCCTTAGGCAATGCAACCCAACCTTAAGCATCACTCACAATGGAAACTGCATAGATCTTTGGGACTTACTGCTTAAACTTGATCACTGGCAAGTTTAGTCACTCTTAATGACCAAGAAGCTGAAGCTGAGGCTCCAATACTTTGGCCACCTCATGAGAAGAGAAGACTCCCTGGAAAAGACCCTGATGTTGGGAAAGATGGAGGGCACAAGGAGAAGGGGACGACAGAGGATGAGATGGTTGGATAGTGTTTTCGAAGCTAGCAGCATGAGTTTGACCAAACTGCAGGAGGCAGTGGAAGACAGAAGTGCCTGGCGTGCTCTGGTCCATGGGGTCACGAAGAGTCGGACACGACTAAACGACTAAACAACAACAACAATGACCAAGAAAGTAAATAATGACAAACCTATCCTAACACACTCAAGATAAAGCCGGGGGGGGGGGGATGGGACAAAACAGCTTTGGACCCTTTTCCCTATACATGGCATTGCTATTTGCTCAGAGTTCACTAACATTTATGATGCCCTCATAGATGTGCCTGGATGCTTTCTTACACTGTGCTGTAGGCTCGAACCCAAAGTTGTCCTGAGGCAGCAGCAACACCCAAGGCTACCCACTCTCTGCCTCCTTCCCAACATTAGACAGATCATGTCTAATGGTGGTGGGCTTTTTGTTTTTGATACTGGGTATCATCAATATTGGGACGCGAGTGGCACTGTGGGCTAAACCACAGAGCCTAGGGCTTGCCGATCAGAAGGTTGACGGTTCGAATCCCCACGACGGGGTGAGCTCCCGTTGCTCAGTCCCAGCTCCTGCCAACCTAGCAGTTCAAAAGCAAGATAAATAGGTACCGCTCTGGCGGGAAGGTAAACGGCGTTTCCATGCGCTGCTCTGGTTCACCAGAAGCGGCTTAGTCATGCTGGCCACGTGACCCGGAAGCTGTACGCCGGCTCCCTCGGCCAATAAAGCAAGATGAGTGCCGCAACCCCAGAGTCGGCCACGACTGGACCTAAATGGTCAGGGGTCCCTTTACCTTTACCTATCATCGGTATACCCCCTTTCCTCCTCTGCCAATTAATAGCTGATCCAGATAGTAAAGAATGCTAATAATCTGTTTTGGGGTTCACATTCCCCTCTGCCCTAATAGCTTGGGTTTGTATGTTTCTCTTGACTGCAATAGCTGTTTGTACAGCACAAGAGGGTAGATCCTACATGTGGTGCTTACTGGATTTTGGCAAATGACTTTTTATTGGGGCTTGGATTCTTCTACGGCACCATTAGAGACCCTGCAATAAGTTCTATGGAGCACAGGACTAGTACAAAGGAGGAGATGTCTGCTTTCTGGACTTCACATACTTACCATTGCAATTTTTCAGCATATTATGAAAAGGGAGTGGGGGAAGGATCTATAAAAGAATTAATATTTTCTTCAATAGAAATGTCATAATTTATTTGGTTTGTATAAAAAGGCACAATCATAACAAAACCCATGTTCTTCTTTTGATAAGAAGAAATATATTATTTCACATCATAAATAAATCAGCAAAACATGTAACTGTTGGCAACCCAAAAACACAAACACTCCTTTGTGCTTTCAATGTCAGTGCTTCGGAATACAGTTCTTAAGATCTATTTACAGGATTACAGTACCCAAAAAATACTGAGGTATTTTGTTTGTTTCTTTCGAAAAGAAAATGAAACTTCAGGCTTGAAAGGCAGAACACACACAAAGCAATTACACTGTAAAAAATAAATAAATATCTGGACATCCTTGTACAAGGGGACAGTTCGACTGCAGCCTAGCACACCCAGGAATGAGAACACTTTCAGATTTGCTACTGAAACAGACTGACAAACAGAAAAACTGTAAAAGAGGAATTATTTCAGGAGTAGAAAGCAAATGTCCTGCATGCTTTTTCTCCTTTGTAGGCAGCATCCAAACATTGGTCAAAAATGCATCTCAGCAAGATCTAGCAGAAAGAACCTGGCTTTCTGGAGTCAAGAGATGCTGCTCTGAGCTGGTGGATCTTGTATTGCTCTGTAACTGCAATGAGAGGAGTCTGGTGCAAGCTAACAGACCTGCCCTCAAAGTTATTGCACTTTTCAGGTAACAGCAAAGGGCATCAAGTCTTTGTGTACAGGGCCCACCTGCACCTGCTTTTCAGCAGCTCGGAGAGGTGGTGATGGGGCTCTGAAGGTAGCTTAGTGCGCTGGAAGCAGAGTGGACAGGGATGGAGACGGGGAAGTTAAAGACCGTTGTAGTGGATGTTCCTCTGTCCAGTGCAGACATTGCCGGGCTCCCAGCCTCTGCCGAGCAATTTGGAGCAAGGACCTGGGACTCAAATTGCAGCAGTTGCCCCATGAAGCTGAAGTTGGGGGAGATGATGCTTCTCCTCTGCTTCACAAACTCAAAAGCTTCATCCAGTTTGACTCGGTTGGTCCTCATAAGGTAAGCAAGGCAGATGGTCGCTGAGCGGGAGATGCCAGCCTGACAGTGAACAAATACTCGCCCGCCATCGTTTTTAACAGAGTCTGAAGGAGCAAGCAAAACATCAACATTAGCAAGAATTTTCCTGCAAACTTCAAAGCTGCTTTTCACTCTCTGTGCTTGAGGGGCCATCTTGCCTAACCAGCTATAGCAATACGTCACACAGCTGGGAATGGAGTTGGATGAACAAAGGAAGGTGTGCAATAAACCAATATGGATGTTCTGTTTCAACTTGATTATAATCACCTATTCCAACTGTGGCCACTAAAGCTTGCTAGAAAATTCTGTCAGCATGAGACTGGTTCAGATTACCAGCTGATCCTTCCAACACCCATGCTAGTGGATCCAATGACTCTTTATAAAGTCTAGTATGCTTTTTGGGATTTCACAATGCTATCTTCTAAAAGAAGCCCAAGCACCATCGTAGCTACAGATTTATTTCAGCCGGTGCTATTTTGATCCCCAAGGAAATACCCTGCATCTCAAATTTAAAGGATGCTGGAAGTGTCTGCTAAGGTGCTGGCACCCAAGGGATACTATAAACTCAATATGTAGGGGGGGGGAGAGAGAGAGAGGACTCATTTACCTATGAAGTCAATTGCTTCGTTAAACCAGCAGCTGATGTCAGCTTTGTGGTTGTCCTCCACAGGGATGCTTTTGTACTGATAGTGTCCCTCAAAATGGTTTGGGCAATTGGCAGAAACGTTGATCAAGGCTGTGATCCCCAAAGCATCCAACATATCTTTCCTGGAAGCATGATAGGCGCTGCCTAGATACAGGAAAGGTAGGATCTCCACTGGACCACCCTAAAATAAAGGAGACAAAGAAACACAGTCTGTTAATCCCACGGCAAAAACAGGCTCCCTCTGCACTTGATACGTTTGTTGTGTTATAATGAAACATTTGTTTTGCCTTGAATGCCTTGTATTTCCAAATGGAATATTTTTATACACACATTTGTGTCTTTCCATTCCAGGCATTTTTTTAAAAAGTCCAACTTGTAATTAAAATAAAATAATTTAAAAAGCAAGTGTAATTTTTTTTTAAAAAGCAAGTGTAATTTTGATTCATGAATGCTCCCCAACTGACCTGATCATAGAGAGGAGTCCCACAGGAGCTGCAGTTTGAATCGGCGCTGCCAGGCACATTGTTTGCGCTGAGCGGCAGAGTCAGGCCCTTGGGAGCAGATGGTTTGGTGCACAACTCAGGGCAGGCAGACGAGAAGGCATCATATCCTCCTAGAAGAAAATAAAGAAGAAAAGAGGTTAATATTGTCCCAGGAACAAACTCTAAGCAGCTGGGGGTGGGGTAGGAAGGGGAGGTAAAACTCCATTGACAGTCCAGTGGCCACTCCTATAAGCCCCTCTGTTAAAACAATGCAAGTGCCCTAGGCTATTTGTCAATACCCGTTATTATTACTACGTATTGCTCTGAATTCCGTTTACCCGGTGGGCCTTTGGCTTACGGACTTTTGAAGCCCAGGGGAGGTGGACTGGCAGGGCAGAGGGCGCCTTGGGGAAGGCGACCTCCCTCTCTCTCTCCCTCTCTGCAGCCTTTTAACTCACCCCTGAGGAAGCAGACGCGGGTGTCCCTGGCTTCCCGGCAGAGGGTGTTGAGGGCCAGCAGGAGGGTGCTGTCCCTCTTGGGCGCCTCCAGGTCGGCGCTGCGCTCGTCGAGGAGCACGACGGCGTGGTAGAGCCCCTTCTGCAGCCGGGCGCGCGCCTCCTCGTTGGGCAGGATGTGCTCGAGGCCCATGGCCCCCTTGGCTCTCCGCCGGACGATGGTGCTCAGGCGGACGTTGCAGGAGCCGCCGATGTGCGAGGAGTTGAAGGAGAAGAAGGAGCGGCAGTCCAGCACCAGGCACTGCACGCAGCGGTCCTGGAGGAGCTCGCGGAGCGTCTCGCAGTCCAGGGCGCACACTTGCATGTTGACCATCGCTCGGGGCAGGGCAGGCAGCGCGGTGGGCGAAAGGGCGCTGGGCAGCCGCTTTTGTCTCCGTTCCCCGGGCGCCTCTTTGTTTAGTCCCGCCGAGCTCGTCTCGGACCGAGGCGGCGCTTTTTGCCAAACAAAAGCTGCCTCTCTTGTTCCTTGTTCGCGGGGGTCCGTAACTCCCACCCCGGTTCCAAAAAGTAAAAACGCCTGGATCGCTGAACGTGGAGATGGCAAAGACGACAGAGCCGCTAGCTTGGGCTTTGCTTTCTCTTGTGTTGGCAGCCTCCGTTGCGGGGCAGCTGCTGCTCGTTGCTTGTCTGCTGCAGTTTCCTTGCTGGACGAGCGGCGCAGCCTCGCCTTATATAGCACCAGCCGCGGTTTGCTGCTTCGGCTTTTTTTTGTGAATGGGCCCCGGTCACATGACCCGCGGTGCCTGGGAAGACGTCACTTCGGCGGGGAGCCAGACGGACACTCCCATCCCGCGAGCGCTCGCGTCATCGAGCAGCCCGAACGGCAAAGTCACTTTGAATGTCCGCATGCCCAGAGCCCTCCCCGCTCCTGCAGGAAGCCGACTGATGCAACGCCGCGCGCGCTGCCGCCTTGCTCCTCCCGGGCTTCTGCCAGCCGGAGCCTGGCCTTCAGCAGCGGTGAGGAAAGGGCACGCGATGTGCTAGAAGAAAAGGAAACGGCTTACAAACCCAGAAGCGCGCTCAGTACACATTCCAGATTCATTCATATTCTTCGCTGCTATCTAGACTTGGAATATGGGGGAAGTGTGGGGTGTCGATAGACCTCTCTGGGCCCCGCCATTGCCCTCTGCTGGCAGGAATTAAATCTCTCTTAGTTGCCAGAGAGGGCACAGCCGCTAGCAGAGCTTCTCTGTTATGGCCAGCGGAGGTTCCCCCGTCGCTTCCAGACGAGCAATCGCCCTCGTTTGAGCGGAGGTTATACGACGCCACCGTCAAGTCGTTGCTGTTTTCTTGCCATTTAAAACTGGCTTCGTGGTGCCATTTAGATATCACAGTGCCCTTGCGTGAGCAGCACGCATCCATCCTACAATAAACTCCTTCTGGAACAATAAAAAAGCAGCACAAGCTTTGGCATTTGTTAGAGGGCAATTTAGCTAGTGCTCTTTACGGCAATGTACCTGTATTTGTGTGGTGGGTTATAAAGGTGCACCCTTCTTGGGCACAGGATGAGAGTCAAACAAAAGTGTGGCAGTCTGGCAGTGTCCTTCATGAGGGAAAGGGAAGACTGCAAGCTTGGTGTTTGATCTATTATGGAAAACGACAGGAGACTGCATTCTCTGATTATGAAAGATCTGATGCAGACATGTCAACGTTTTACCTACATCAACACAATCAAGCACTTCCATTAGGTACCATAAGCATTTCACCCCTTTTAAATCAACTGCAAAGATGCATATTTTAAAATCACATTTAGCCGAGTTTGGTCTAGCAGTTGCTTTGGGGAGGGTGTTTCTGTCTGTGAAGCAAAACAGCACAGATGGCTAAGTGACACCATTTGGAATGCTTATGTTTTGAAGACAACATAAACACTATTTTGCTTGGTGCTTGAGCTGATAAAAGGATTGTTTTCTGTTTCAACAGGGCTGACCCATCTTTGGGAGAACACAAACATATGTATTACATAATGTGTACACGTAACAAGTAATTTAGTGCTTTTGAAAAATGCCAAAGGGAGCAATCTGGAAAAAGGAAGTGCAGGATCACGCCCAGCATCCCAATCTGCATATCTAGGAGTTGAGGAGTTCATTCATTACACCCTTCTGGGATTTATTCTTAACAACTTCTGTAGATAGAGTATGAAGCCAAAACAATGCTTCTCAAAGTTACTGTCTAATTTTGTGATTGTTCTCAGGGGTTCTGATCCAGAGAAAGCCATGCTGATGAGCCATTGCAATATATGGGTCAAGTCAATTGTGACTAACCGGTGACCCATGAATTTAAATGAAACCTAGGCCCAACTAACTATGCAATCCTATATATGTCTAGTCAAAAGTCAGTCCCGTTGAGTTCAATGAGGCTTACTCCCAGGCACAGGATTGCAGTCTAAATTTGTCTGGAATGGGGACACAATGTTTCCTTGGTTCTTCCTCATGGAGTCACACCCCTTCTAAAAAGGCTGCACACTTATAACGAGATTGCTTATATAATACAGTAGAAATCTTGATGAAAGCTCTGCATTTTTTAAAGCACTATGTAACATGTTGGATACGAACACTGAAACAAAGCCCTGAAATATAGTTAGACTGGAATAGCTGTGCTCCTATTCCCAATTCTACTATTGCGTGCACACAACAAACAAACAAATACACACGGTCCTTCAGCAACCACTGAGTGATGCTGCCTACTGGCTAGTTACCATGCTCTTTATCAGGCTTATTCTGCAAACCATTGGCCTTTACAAATTTCAGGTAAAATGTCTATGTAAAAATTTCCAGCACACAAATGACAATGAAGTAAAAAATGTATTAATCCAATCCAATAAAACCCCAAATTGAAGAGATATGTTATTTCCTTTTTGGGAGTCCTCTAGTCTATACTACATGCCCCAAACCTTTCTGTTTCTTTTGCTCCGAGATTCCACGCATTATGGCACAGCGTGCAGCTTCATAAATCACAAAAAGATGAAAATCTAATAGAAAACAGATGGTTTCTTGTAACATAACAGGATGTTAATCTAGGCAAAATGTGTCCCCTCACCCATGAAAAAGTGGAGAAAACATGAATTCCAAGCAAGATGGATAGGTCACTTCTTAAACAAATTAGGATGAAAGTTCAATAAGCAAGTCATCTAGAAGCACCCTCAGTTCAATGAGCTCTAGAGTTTGATCCTACCCATGTTTACTCGGAAGTATACTCTGCTGTGTTCAGTGGGACTTACTTCCTTAGGAGGATTACAACCATTTCATCCATACCCAATGTAATAATTTAGGAGAAATCTTGGATTGCCCCAATGTACCACTCTCTGTGTGGACCTGAATATTTTCAAAAGCTCTCTAATGAGAAGGAGCTTCATGCATCTGGTTTTTTTTTTTTTTTAAATGACCAATTGCATCAAAACTGGTGTAAAAATGACAGAACTTTATAAGCTTTTTGGTGGCTTTTGACAAGAACAGATTTTTGATATTTTACAGAAGAACAATTATAATTTTGAGCTATATCTGCACCAACACTGACTTAATAATACTGTGGTTAACAGTTTACCTTATATGTACTGTATATACCCACCAGATTATTCATACAATTTAGACTCAGTTCAGGGCTTTCAAATGAGGAACCATATCTAGTGAGGAATGCTTATTCACTAATTAGTGTTTCCCAGAATGTAATGGGAAGTAACAATAGCCCTGCTTTTTTCACAAACCCACAAGCCTTGAATGCTAAGTAACTGGCAATGGAGTGGTTCAAATCCCCCTTTGTGCCCTTTCAACAGAGCACCTTGTTCTAACCAATTGGCCTATGTCTTCACTCAAGAATTTCTGAAGATTCTGTTTATATTGCATCACAAGCAAATTTCAATAAAAGGAATTCTCATGGCTCTCTCAGTCTTGCTCTCTTTTTGCATTTCCTCTGCTTCCTCACTTTTTGTTTTCTTTCTCAATATAATTATCAACTTTTACAACTTTTAGTTTGTTTTCTCCCTTTCTTTTAATCTCTAGAGGTATTGCTTTCTGTTCCAATATCTTTCCCCCAAATTTGTGAGAATGCTCAAAAAATTGCTTTGGATTCTTGTGTCATTGCCACACTTTTCTAGAATGTTCCAGAACTTTTATCAACTTCTGAATGCTCCTTCAGACAGAGGAATCTTCCCCCACACACCCATGCTGACCACAAAAAATAGACCGCTCTCTCTTGACTGAAAACATTTTCATCACACCATTACTGATATAAGCAGGCAGCAATATGTCTGCTTTCCAATCTCTATACACTTCCAGAATCTTCTATGCAGTTGCTAATTTTTCGTTTTAGTTTTCCTTTTGACTTTTGGGCTTTTAGCCACACTTTGGTCACAAAATATGTGTGTTGAGAATGTGAGGACTAAAAATACACTTTCTGATTTCAACAGTGCTGATAGTTTTATGAATTTATTTGTAAGACTTCAGATGGTTTGGAATAGATCAAGCAAACTTACTCCTCTGGTAAGCATGCAACTTGGCAGGCTGCTAGAACTGATTGTGTAATTGACTTCATTCAGCAGTTTCAGTGCCAAAACTCTAGACTCAATGCCAATCCAGATTTTGTTTTCTCAGAAATAAACATGGGGAGGCTAACACTTTTTCATTTATATTTATATATTAATTATTGCCGTTCTTATAACAACACCAGGAATCATGGGATTCAGGACAAAGGCTGAAAACATACCTGCAGGATTATCCTAATTGATCAGTAACCCTGTCACTTTCACTTGCATAGATATTTTGTGTGTTTAAATTTGGTGTTAGGAACCTTTTTCCAGTCTGGGGGCCACATTCCCTTCTGGACAATCTTCCAGAGGCCGCATGGTAGTGGTAGGTGGGGCTAGAGGCAAACACAGGTGGAAAAATGAATGTAAATTTTACTTTTGCACAGTAGGCTAGTTTCAACACACACACACCCTTGTGTCTTCCATCCAGACAAGCAAGAGGCACTACCAAAGTTTAAGGACATATTCTAGCCAGGCAAAAATACTCAAGGAAGATGTGAAGCCAGGCCAGTGAGGGGTGTGGTTTGGGGAGAAGGGGTGTGGCCTATGAAGAGTCCCAGGGGCCAGATAGAGAAGTTTGGAGGCCTGCGTTTGGACCTAAGGTTCCCCACCCCTGATTTAAACCAATCTAATGATACTGGGAGTTTGACCAACACTTTAGGGAAGACATTTCTGAGAATTCAATCATTTTCAGAGGGCAATTCGTGCTCATTAACCACAATCCTTGCAAAACTGCTCATTATGAACTCAAGCGGGTGACACACTCTGACTTTCCCACGTATCACAAATGGCTTTTTAATCAAGAAGGCTGTTGGAAGCATGGGCTTCTGCAGTTCCTCCATATTAATTCTGCCTACACAGAGCTCTTTGAGAAAACTATTCACAATCCCAAGGATTATTAACCTTCAGCTAATGAAGGATTTACTCCAAAACCAATTTGAAACAGTGGGCATAAATCCTGAGGTTGCTACACATAGCTGATTGTCTTCACTGTGGAAAACCTCCCACTTGCCATCTCTCAAAGGAGGCCAGTTTATATAACCCTTAGGAACGCTGCCAGCTTATTTTCGATTCAGAGCGACAGCTCAGACTGAAGCATGGCCAGGGCAAAGCAGATCCCCGAGTGATCTGTCATAAGCACAAACTGAAACTCACCCTTCAGCCCACCTAAATGGCCTACATAAACAAGGGCTGAGGTAGCAAAACTGATCTTGGACCTTACCACTTCAGATTGCAGGTGACAGTGGGAAATGTTGGAGCATTCAGTTATGGGGGGCAGCCCTTCCCAACGAAAATGCCAGCATGTGAGAGGGTCAAGGTCAGGAGAGACAACTTCTCCATGGTATCTGTTTTTTTAAAAAATGTATATCATATGTAGTGTTCGGTTTGGAGGAACACTGAAGTATGTGATATCCCCACCTGCGTTCTGAAGTGCCTCTGTCCAGGAAAGAGCAGAAAGACAACATCCTTCTGTTTTGACCAGAGAAATGGGAGCTTAAACAGAGCTTGGGCCAAAGGGTAGTTATCATCCCTGAAAACATGGTGTCTTTCTCCTGTTGTCTGTCCTTCACAGGGATGGGCAAATCTGTTAATTTCAGTTTCACTCAGTTTCTCATTGTTCCAGTGTTAATGTTTATGGGTTGCTTTGAAGAGATCTACAGTATAATAAAACAATGATATGCAGTTTTGCCTAATATATGCATTTTGGAGAAGCAATTTTCCCTAAAATAATGTATTTTTGATGAGTTATGGATGCTGGGACAGTTTTCACACATGCTACTATAAGCAGTGGGGTTACTTTAGCACCACTCCTTGTTTCTGTGTTATTGAACACATAAGCTAATAACACAAAAAATGGGGAGTTCATGCTTCTTTAGAAATTACTGGCTCTACTAAACTGATATGGTAAAAATAGAGTTTTTGTTCTAATCTCTCACACCATCATGGGTTTAGGGAGAAGTATGTGAGGAAGGTTGAGCCAGTCTCATAATATTTTTTCACTTTGGGAGTTACCCATATGTTGGCTCATGTTGCCAACAGGTTGCTCAGATATGATTTTTCTGTGTGTGCAACCCATGAGCCCATGTGTGCAATCCACACATTCTGTTTTCAGTCTTAGTTTCTTCGTTGGTATTCTGTGGTTTCCCATCCACACCAGTGGACAGTCCTTGACACAATATTTCCATGCAGTGGGTAGGATTCAGCTAGGTTGTTGAATACATGAAATATTCACTTGTGTAGTAGAATGCTTTCCCCCTTCGTCATGCACCCCCACCCCCTAAACTGGCTCTGAAGGGTTGGGGGACACACCAAGAATTGGTTTGGGGGCACGCAGGGGGTGCAGGGAGAGGAGAAGGGGAGAAGTCCTGTTGTGCAAATGGCTCTCGTTCCTGACTTACATTGCATACCCCATTTAGCTAAACGTTGAATTTCACCTAGTTTTCTGGCCCCTGCTTTCCCCCCTGTTCCCCCACTACCTTTTCATGTTCTAGAGATGTACACAGGTATTTATTGACCTATACACACCTTCTAAACAAATTCAGAAATGGACAAGAACAATTGTTGCCAGCCCTTCATTATCATGGTTCAAAATGGGTAAAAAAGGAGGGTTGTGCTTTTTGGGGGTGGGGAGGGAAACAGCAGTTGTCTCCAAGGGTGTTTGTATTGTGCAAAACCTCTGTGTTAATTTTTTAAAAAAAAATCTCTGACATATGCTGAGCTATTGAGAGAAGAGCTCATCCAAACTGGAATTTCTGATGTGCCTTTAGCATGCGGCAATCAGGGGAAATAGACACACTCATATCTTTAGGACCATTCCTGGAAAGAAAACAGCCAGGTTGTGCTCAGGTGACAGAAGAGAGAGTACATGACAAACTGATAACCATGCTCAGGATGAACTCTCCATCCCCCAAAAGTGCTAATAAACATGCACACATTGCAAAGTAGAGGCAGTCTGATGACAATGATATCGTGTAGACAGTGTGAAAAACTTGCATACAATCTGAAAAGCTTGCAATGCCAGAATAAACCTCTGTCTGGAAGTACCCTTTACATATTGATTCATTTTGTAAAGATATTTTTTTTTAAAAAAAAGCTGAAAGAAGGCAAGGTATGAAAAAGCTATGGGTTGCAAGGTTAAAGTCACATTTAAATAACTCCAGTGAACTTACACTTGGGTTGGACTTCCTTCCTGGCTTTACAAAAGCCAGGAAATCCAAAGTTAACTTGTTGTAATTCAAAGAATCAGTCTTTTTTATAAAAAACACACACACACACGTAGTGGAACAAAGTGGGAGGCATAGTAGTGGATACTTTTTTAGGGCATAAGTACAGGCATATATATAAATCAAGAATCAGTGTGTGTGTGTGTGTGTGTGTGTGTGTGCGCGCGCTTCATTTTGAGTCTTGCTTCCCCCACCTTTGTTATACATTTGACAGGCATATTGGCCAGTAAATAATATGATAATTCAGTATGTGTATGTACACGTGTGTGTGTGTGTGTGTGTGTGTGTGTTCCAGTTTGTAAACATACAAAAAACCTGTTTCCCCTGAACCTGATATAGGAGGAAATATTGTAAAGTCTAAACATAACACAAAGAGTGTGTGCATTTCCTCAATGGGTTCACAGCTCAAATTATGTTCATATGTACACGCACTCTTACAGTCTTTGGAGTTTCATCTTGACGGAAAGCCATAGCTTCATGATTCTTGTCGCAGTGTATTTTTAACAAGTTCATGGTGACATGAGAACCACATGAGGGTAATTCCTCATCAGAAGGGAGACTCATTTCCCAACCACCTCATGATGATTTCATAGCTGCATTTACTGTGCCTCTCTTACATGTCTGGCCTTTTTTTAAATGTGCAGATTGGAAGTGGAGGAGGAAAGGCTCTACTTTTTTAAAAATAATTATTTCAAGAGGAGGAAGAGGTTTCAAAGGCTATCGTGTCATTTATAGGCGTGTATAATCATTAACTGATAAAGAACAGTGGCCAACAACAATAGTTATTTGCTTAGCAAACCAGTGACGTTTACCGATAACCTCTGGCCTGACTT